TACACAAATCTGAATGGCTGTTTAAATCATTTAAACACGATTCAGAAACAGAAAGTAGTGCAGCTGCTTCATTTACAGGGTTTCCGGGGTGACGGCTGCATTGAAATGAATTGTTATTATTATTATTATTATTTCTGCAGTTTAGCGCCATCTGGACTTTAAATTTCCTCTCTACACCAAAGTTGCTGTTGAGTATCATCTTTATTTTTATTTTTTTTGCTTGAAAGGACTTTTGGGCTGTGGGCAACAAGCCTACTCATGAACTTTCGCTATATGACTATTTCATTTGGGTTTATAAAAGAGTCAACAGATTGGGTTATCTTTGCATTTGTCTAACAAGTGTCTAATTTGCCTCATATTTTCAATACAGTGTTGTTTGGGGACTTTGATGTGTTTGCAATCATGCTGTTTCTGCATTAAAGTTCTCCATGTGACTTCAGTGGTTTAACCTCAATTTTATGAAGCGACAAAAGTGCTTTGTTTGCACACACACACACAAACGACTACTTTATTTACTAAAATATTAAGCAGCGAAAGTGCTTCTGTGAATGCACTGGATATTCTTTTGGAAAATAAATTTTTTCACAGAAGCACGTTCACTGTTGAGTCAACCCAACACTCATTCGCCGTGGTGCGCCCCCTACTGGGTTGCAAGTCAATATTTTCCTAAAGTGGTAATTTTTTTGTTTTTTTTGTGCAAACAAGCACTGGTGTCTCTTCATAAAAATGAGGTTAAACCATTGGAGTCACATGGAGAACTTTAATTATGTTTTTCTACCGTTCTGGATCTTGAATGTGGTAGTTGCGTTTATCTCAATGGGGGGAGAAAATGCTCTCGGATTTAATAAAAATATCTTTATTTGTGATCCGAAAATGAATGAAGGACTTGCAGGTGTGTGTGTGGAACGACATGAGGGTGAGTAATTAACGACATAGTTTTCATTTTTGGGTGAACTAACACTTTAAGTTTGTACTTTATCTTTAATAATGGATTCACAGCTAAACTGATCTGATATGAGAGATTGAAGAGTGTGTCATTGTTCTCTACAGGTTGTATGATTGTGGCGTCACAGATGAAGGTTGTGCTGCTCTGGCTTCAGCTCTGAGATCAAACGCCTCACACCTGAGAGACCTGGATCTGTCGTGGAATAAACTAGGAGATTCAGTGAAGATGCTTTCTGATGTACTACAGGATCCTCACTGTAAACTGGAGAAACTGGGGTAAAATAATATATGGCATACTGTATGTGAAGTGCAAAATAAATTAGTTTTGAAAACAAAATTACAAATACAAAACAAAACAACAAATTATAAACACAATGGCAAATCTAAACACTAAACACAAAAGTCGGAAAACACAATGGCAAATCAGACAAAACAGAAAAGCTAGGTATTGTTTGCAAATTGAATATTTATCACTGATTAGACGAGACATCTGTCAATCAAGATGTACAGAAAGTAAAAAATTGTGACCAGCTTTGCTTCTTGTACATGTGTGGACTTCTGTGTTCATTTTAACCCTTTCTTTTTTGCAATAACAAAAACCTTTTAAATTGATTGTTTACACGTAGTGCACATAGTCCATCAGACAAAATTACAAAAGAAACCAGTCACATACTGTAAGTGGGAGAGTAAGGACAGTAGGCTTATCTTTTGACACCAAACCGAGTACAAATCTGCCTTTCCAGAGTGATCAGGAGCCCATGGCAGGAACCAGAGTCTAGGGAAAACTGAAACACAGGAGACAGACAGTGCATATATGGTCTCAAGGGCCGGAACAGGACATGCAGATAGTTCTTTAACAGTCTCCTTCAGCTTGATAGTCAGGACGGGAACTGGATTGGCAGTGACAGGGTTAACAGGGCAGACATGGTGTGCGTTCTTAGTTTCTGGGCTCATGACAGGCAGGGTTAAGAGTACAGAGGTGGGTTCTTGGGCTGTGACAGACCGTTCAAGATTGG